AAATATACACACACACACACACACACACAAATACATACACACACATACATACTCACACACACACACACACACTGAAGTCATTTGAAATAATGAGCCTGCCGATGAAAGCTCTGACAAGCAGTGACAATTAAAAAGGAATCTCAGCTCCTAAATATATTGGAGTGGAGTCACTCTTTTGTCTGTCCTAATGCCTGATGTCCTCTGGGAACGCTGACAATAAAAGAGCAGCGCAAAGGTTTTCTCTTTCAGTGCTTTCTCTTTGTTCTCCGGTCGGAGCTTGTTGGCAGAATGATAGCGTGATCCCGATGTGTCCTAATTGACAGGACACTCTGGAGATGTGCGCCGGCGAGAACGAGTTCAAAAGCATCCTCTTCGCCCTGTGCTATACACGCGGTGGTGGCTGGAACAGGAGTCACCCGTTCAACATTCTCTACAACTGTCTGGAGGCCAACAGCGAGGTGAGAGAAGCAGCGCTTATTTATGTGTGCTTATTGAAGTAGAGAGAGTGAAAGGCCTGCTGACGTACGCTGTGTTAAAAGAGACTGATGAGCTTCTGGAGCACGTGTTATTACTCACCCACAACTACACAACTACCTGCTCCCAATTTAATATTTATGCCCTTCATTACACCCAGCAATTAAGCATCGGTGCTCGCTTTTATGGCAACAACCCTAAAGAGCTATGGACTCGGACTAGATCTGCATTTCCTGAAGGAAGCAGCAGTGTTAGAGACGTGTGGCTCAGTGAAATCAAGCGTTAAAGCCACTGGCCTGATTCTCAGACGAGTGCTTCAACGCATACTAAGACAAGTCAGATAAATAAAGCATCTTGAAAAGTAGCCGATTGACTTGTGCACTATATTCCAAATTAGAAGCCGTTTAGGATTATCACTGAATTATGACTCCATCTGGCTTCAGAAGACTTGAAATGTAGTGCGCAGTCATATAGACAGATTTTATGGTCTTTTTAGGAGTATAAATCACCATCCAGATGTATTATGTTGAAAACAGAAGCTCACACAATCTCAGTCTCGTTTAGTGTTTCACAGAAGGAAGAAAATCATTTGGAAAAACCCCAATCAGAATGTTTGAAGTGCTTTGTGCACTTTAATTATTTGCATTTTGTTACAAGACTTCATAGTAATGAATCAAAAATCACATTTGGAAGCCCGGCTCCCGTCTGCCGGGAAACATGGATTACAGCGGCTATCATCAGGTAACGAGATACTGATGATGTACTGTAGGTGCCTGGGTTCAAAACCTGACATAATTTAACTTGCTGATGTAGCCACAGATCATCAGCTTTCATATTCTGACAAAAACTACGAGTACGAGTTTGGAGCTATGTGATGGTGAGTAAATGTACGTGATGTCGGATTCGTCTGTTTAAAGGACGATTATCTGTGGAAAGAGACTCAGTTTAGACTGTGAAGGTGTGTTTTCTGCCACAAATCCACAGGCTCCTTCAGATGGCTGAGTCTGAATGTGCATGATGTGTCTGCGTGTGTTTCATGACATGTTGCTGTCCAGCAGAATAGATAATCTTTCCGTTGATGTATGGTTTGTTAGGATAGGACAATATTTGGCTGAGATACAACTATTTGAAAATCTGGAATCTGAGGGTGCAAAAAAATCTAAAAACTGAGAAAATCATCTTTAAAGTTGTCCAAATTAAGTTCTTAGCAATGCATATTACTAATCAAAAATTCGGTTTTGATATATTTACGGTAGGAAATATACAAAATATCTTCATGGAACATGAGCTTTACTTAATATCCTAATGATTTTTGGCATAAAAGAAAAATAAAACCAGTCATAAGGGTCAATTTTTTGAAATTGAGATTTATGCATCATCTGAAAGCTGAATAAATAATCTTTCCATTGATGTATGGTTTGTTAGGATAGGACAATATTTGGCTGAGATACAACTATTTGAAAATCTGGAATCTGAGGGTGCAAAAAAATCTAAATATTGAGAAAATCATCTTTAAAGTTGTTCAAATGAAGTTCTTAGCAATGCATATTACTACTCATAAATTAAGTTTTGATATATTTACGGTAGGAAATGTATTAAATATCTTCATGTAACATGATCTTTACTTAATATCCTAATGATTTTTGACATAAAAGAAAAATGTATAATTTTGACCCATACAATGTATTGTTGGCTATTGCTACAAATATACCCCAGCGACTTAACACTGCTTTTGTGCTGCAGGGACACATATATGGTCTGAAAATCTACTGAGAGGTTTGAAAATTTTAGTCTGGTTATTGCAAAAGTGTGTGATGTGATCGTCTGCCCCGGTTTGTGTGCGAGCAGATCGAGAGGTGCAAGATTTGATCTGTAAACGCCTCACATCACCAGATAACCCGCGCTGAACATCAGAGATCCCTTCTCTAAAACCCCTGTAGTGTGAGCACGGCTTTAGGGTTCATCATTAGGATTGGAGGCTCGTGTTGGTTTGTGTTTGTGTGTGTGTGAATGCCTGCGGTGACCGCGAGGCTCACTGTCCCTCATCTGCACTGCTTTTAAAGCATCACACAGCCGTCTGACCTCTAGTGATCACTTACTACAGGGTTCTGATCACACTCACCTGCCTGTAACTGTCTTTCCTGAAGACCTTGATGGTGTGTTTGATTAGGGTTGGAGCCAAACTCTCCGGGAAAGTTGAGAACCCCTGATTTACTTCTTACTAAAGCTGTGTGATGCAGAAGCATCAAGCATCTAAATCAGCCACGCAATCTAAAACGACTGACTGACGAGGAAAAGAGGAGAAAACACCATCCTGCACCAACAGAAATAAGACCTTTTCAGCTACTCATGACCACACTAGAATTTATCACAGTTTAGTGCAGTAACAGCTACTGTGGTCAATTTTGACTGATTTGTTGTAGAATTTATTATAAACAATGTGTTACGGGTAGATTTTTCAGATTTTAAAGGTGGCATGTTGTAGCTATAGTTTGTAAATGTACAGGCTGCTATTTTTCATAATGCTATCGATTAAGAGCACATCTCTGTCTGCTGTAGATGAAGCTTTGAGTATCAGTGTTACATGTGACCTCATTAAACCCTCGGTAAGGGTCACACGATCTCACCTTCACGTCCGGAGACAAACTCTCGTGTCTGAAGAAGTTAAACTCGGCTCATTTCCCAGTGCGGCTCATGTAAGAGTGCTCGAATGCATTATGACAGCTGACCTTTTTTAGATAAGAGATTGGGATTTGTAAGCAATGAGCGCTTTGCATGAACTCCTCATGTATCTGACAAACGGATCTGCTGAGAGAATCAGGTTAAAGAGCCCAGAGTGAGCTGACAGCTTTGCCTTCTCGTTCTGCTCCTGTGTGCCACATACAGCAGGGAACTATATTCAGATGCTGATCTTCTGAGCTTCGGACGCCTGCTTTGCTAGATTGATTGTCATGTTTAATATATTAGTATTTATTATATTGAATCCCTCTCATCCAAACGGTGCCGTGTTTCTGTGCTCCGAGGAGAGATCCATTCCGGAAGCAGGAATACCGTCATCAGTCGTGATCAGACTTATTAGATGAATGCATTGCCTGCAGGCTAATTGAATATTTGAATCATCCTGCAAACCATCCTTTCCTCTGTGTGCAATGTTCTGATTTACCGGTTATGCTACCTCAGTAAATGAGTCAGTCAAGAAAGATAAAAACTGCTAATGGAAGCTAATGGAAAAATGACTAATTGGCTTGTTATAATAAAATGGGCATATTTTAAGGCTTTATTAATTATAGGGAGTGATGGGAGTCTTGAGCGTGATTGATTGATGAGAGCGCTCACTGACGCTGATGTGTGTTCGTGTGTCCAGGTGAAAGCAGTGTGTGATGAGATCCTGGAGAAGCTTCCGGAGGAGTTCAACATGACAGAGATCATGGGAAAGGTGGAGGAGAGGAGGCTGTATATCGTCGTGGCATTCCAGGAATGCGAGCACATGAATATCCTGACACAGAAGATCAAACGCTCTCTAAAAGAGCTCAATCTGGGCCTGAAGGTTAGACACACACACACACAAACACAGACATACACACTCACTCACACACACACACACAGACACACACACACTCTCACACACTCTCACACACACACACACACACACACACACACACACACACACACTC